ACTCAGGAGACATCGCCATAAACAAAGCATGTAAACCTTTACTATACCAGCTCCACTTATCCAGATTAGTTTTAGTCCATAAAGAAATATCAGTGAGTGCAACTATACCATCAATATTTGTTGAAGGAGGAGTCCACCATTTTGCACAGAAATCCAACCATGTTCATCCAAAGCCTTCAGGAAAGCTCTCATATCCACTTTCCAATAGGCATAATTACCACCATCAAAATATGGTGGCATAAACAACGAACTACTCATCTAGACAATCAAAATATGGGACAAGACACAAGATTAGGCTCTGATACCAATTGAAAAATGCAAGATTCGACCTTACTATACCTAGAGGGGGGTGATTAGGTGTAAATGCGGAATTAAAATTTAATTCACATGCAACAAGTCACAAGTTAATTATGTTTAGGTGATTAGTCAAATAATTCAAATTAATCTATCTTGAAATACCGCAGTAATGCCAAAACAGTAAATAAAACAGTAAACAACACCAGAATTGTTCACGGAGAAACCTAACGTGGGAAAAACTCCCGGCACTTTGCCGTCAAAAATCCACTATAAAGTGTCAATAAAATTTACAGACTATCAGCAAAATTGACAACACAAGCTTTCTGATCTCCTGTCTGAAGTATAAAGTAGCCCTCCTGGAATGTGCACACCAATACCAATTCTAACTCTTTTTTGTAAAGCAGTCCTCCTGGAATGAGCACACGTACTCCAATCCTGACTCTTTACGCAATTTATCTCTTGTAGATCTTTTCCAAGAACTCGTCGTTCTTCAAATTCTTCCTTGATCTTTAATTCAGCACAGTTGACGACACAATCTTGCAGCAGATCTAAGCGAAGAAACCAATTCAGTGTTTGATTTGATTGCTTTGATGTTTTCAATAAAAAAGGCTCATGAACAATGAAGGATTAAACTTTTGATCTTGTATAGGATGTATTCTTTTTGAATAATGTGTTGTTCAATCAATCTCACAGAAAATACTGCGCCTTCAATATATAGGTTGGACTAATTAGGTTGTATGGACAACTTAAAATCTTGGAAAAGGAAAAATTAGGTTTTCCAGATAAATATGTCGTTCGAGCGAAGAAGCATTCTCGC